AACAGCATGAATTCTGACATTTTTAATTGTTTTTACATGTTTTGATCTTATGCTGTATTGATACTCAAAGCTTTCACAGGTGAGATAAACTATTCTCATTTCCTCTCAACTTCTTCAGTGTCATCATTTCTCCTGTTTATTATACTTACATTTTCAACATTTATATTTATATTCTATTGTCAATATTCAATCATGTATGCTACCTGAAATTTTTACTTTTTATTCAATTATTAAGTGGCTGAATTTCAAAATTATTTTGTGTTTGGAACTATCACATCAAGGATCTTTAGTCTCTTTTTAAATATTTTAGCTTTACTTATATGTGAATGATATCTTAAGCAATTATAAAGTTTGATTATTATTCTTTATTTTTTTCTGAACACAGAACAGTGCTCCACTGTCTTACATCTGTTAAATAGCTGTGAAATCTTAGATCAGCCTGATTCTTCCTCTTCTTTACATGAATTGCTTTGATTGGCTCTAAACTTTTTTTTATTTTACCAAAGTGTATGTGATACTGAGAAGTTTGAAATCTGTTCTATATTATTTTCTTTGTAACTGTGCCATAATTTAGCATACTTTTATAAGTCAAAGATACTTGTTGAAACTGAGATATTAAGAAACATTTTCTAACTTTCTATTAATATATATGATCTTATTTTACATTTGATTTTTCATACACAAAGAGTACATTGAACATTTGGGATTATTTTGCAACTTATTTTCATTATGCTACGAATGTTATTTTTTTTAGGAATTTCATAATGAATGAGATTAAATATGTATGTATCTTAATTTGTTAAAGTAAAAATGATTTTTAAATATGAATTAACTTTGTTAACTGAATTTCCATGATAAACAACATTTATACCTTGCTGATACCTTACTGATACTTTAATTTTTTTTCTTTGCTTAACCTAAGTTATAATTAGTATATTTTTGTTTGCATGTTAACATTTTTTACAAAGTTTAGGCAAACCTCAAATATTTGGAGAACACTGCCTATTTTGTGGACTTTGAAAGAGATTCTATAAGAGTGACACTGAATGTTTATATATATATGACATGACATTTTTTCATCCTTTCATCATTTTATGGACCTAAGTTGTTTCTATTTTTTGCTTATTAGGAATAATGCTGCTATATAACTAAATATATGCATATTCTTTGCATGTACACATGTGAATATATATGTGTATGTATGTATGAATCTATATATAGTGCATGAGAGTGAAAGAGAGTGAAATATATAGTTGAATATTATTTAGCTGTAAGGAAGAATGTGCTACTGATAGATGCTACAACACTGATGAACCTTGAAAACATGCTAAACATGAAAGACACCATAAAAGAAGATATCACATGTTTTATGACTCTTTGTTTCTTGGAACGTGGTCTCTATACTGCCCAGACTGACCTCAAATTTGAGACCCTTCTCTTTTCTCCTTCCAAATACTTGAAATTATAGACATGTTTCACAGTTTCCAACTTTATGATTCCATTTTTGTGACATGTCCAAAATAAGCAAATCCATAGTGATATGAAGCAGATCCACCCACCCAGAAGAGAGAAAAGGGAAGTAACTATGAATAAGTAATGTATTTCTTTATGTGTTGTTAGCATAGAGTGATTATAGCCAACAATAATTTACTATATATTTCAAAATAGCTAGAAGTGAAGATTTTTAATGTTTCCAGTGCAAAGAAATGATAAATGTTTGAGTTGATGGCTATATCTGATTCAGTTATCATACATTGTATTCATGTGTTGCAATATCGCACTGTAACCCATACATACGTCAACAATTACTGTCAATTAAAATATAAAAATATTCTAAATATAGATATTATACAACTCTAAATATAATACAAAGCAATGAATTGAACAATTGGGTGAAATTTATGTTATGTGAACTATTTTTAATAGAATGCTCATAAAATATACTGTTATAATCACTTAAAATAGAATTGATTTAGCAATTATGATCTTAAAAATAAGTGAATCTGCATATTCTTTCACTTTGATTATGTTCAACAGCTATATCTCTAATTCATAATTCTACCTAGGACCAGCATTTTATTATTGTAATATGTCTGTATATTTGATGTTATAAAATTTTTAAATGGGTAAAAACATAACTTCTAAGTTAAATTTTTTTAAACTGTGTCAGTCTAGCTATGTTAGTGCACCCCTGTAACCTCAACACTCTGGGAGACTGAGTCAAGAGGATTGCAAATTTGTCCCCAGCCTGGGCAATTTTGTGACTTAGTGAGACCCTGTCTCAAAATAAAAAATTAAAAAGAGTTGGAAATGTAGCTCAGTGTGAAGGCTCTTCAATTCTTGATAGTATACTGAAAGAAAATGTATCAAAATCATTTGGATTCTTTGGTTCCTGACAAATGATGACTAGATTAGACTGTTGGTTTTCTTTCAATAAATAGGCCTAGACTGACATTTCTAGAGACTTTGTTAAGCTGTTTTATATTTCATAAATATTGGAATTCTACACTTTCAACAAGCTTCCATTTGATGCTGGGTAGCAAAACCTTACAGGGACTATACAAGAAAGAATAGCCTATGTCAAAAGAGCTATCAGAAAACCAGAAAAATCTTTTACACACCTGAGGCCGTAGTAAACTGTAGTGAGGGCTTGACAGCAGCCTTGGATATAAGACAAAATACAAGCATGGGATGAGAGATTAGAGAAGAGCTTTAAAGTTTTGTTTTTACCTCTTCTCAACATTGCCCTGGAAGACCACTGCCATCCTGTTCTTATACAGAGCTGTGTTTGAGGAGGAACAGCCCATGACTAGTGGTATTTGACAAATAATGTCAAAGCAGTTTCAAAGTTATGATGGGTTAAACAAAAAATAGATGCCACTGGTTTCTTCTCTGGGAAGTAGAGAATAATTTTGCTCCTACCCTTGCAACAGTAGCAAAAGCCAGACAATTAGAAAACCCTATTTTTCTTAAACTATCCAGAAAGCTGGGATAGCAGGGCAACAGAGTGACCCAAAATACAATGAAGAAAAAATGTTACAAGAAGAAATATGATAGCAATGTTCTACATAGAGCAGTTACAACCAGTCATCAATAAGAAGAGTTGTGTTTGGGTGGTCACTGAATTGGTAGAGGCCAAGTATTGGTAGAGGCTGGAGAATGTATGCTTCATAGTGCAGAACAAGGGACAGTAACCCAGATTCCTATACACAGTACCAAATTTGGACTGCACTCCATACCTTTGGGGACTTGGGAGCCTGAAAATAAAAATAAAAAGTTAAGAAAAAAACAGATGCCAAAGGTTAAACTTCTTCAAGAAAATGCCTAACATTTCTCTAATGTCTATGGAAGATGAGGTGGATACTATTTATATCCACTGCAGGCCTAACAAATTGCAGCTAACAAATTGCCTTTTAATGTCAAAATATATCAGTGCTTTCAGTTATTAAAATATAAATACTAGTTGCAGAAGTGAAATTGTTTGATTTTATTGAAAGTCAGGTGGCAAATTAAAAGAAGCGCATTTAGATTTGCTAAGAGTATATATTAAGTGTTCTCACCACACATATATACACACACACACACACAATGGTAACTGAACTGATGGATATGGTAATTAGCTTTATTGTGGGAATCTTGTGCAAGGTATACTTGTATCGAAACTACACCTTAAATATACACAATTTTTTATTTGTCAAATATATCTCAAATCTGGGAAAGAAAAAGAAGTACATTTAGGATATCATTATTCAGTCAAATAGCAATGTACATTTAAATCATTACTTTGAGAGGATTTCATCCTATATCAAAAATAGAATTATTTATAAATTACTAGAACAAAAAATACTTTGAAAAATGTTATGTGAAATGTTTCTTGCTCTGTTTTAGTTGAAAATTCTTTGCAATCTTGGCGTGCTAGAACAATTTTGTGAAATGATATGCTACAGAAATTCTATCGAGATATTTAATATTAAAGCATCTCAGATAAAAAAAGTACTAAAAACTTTCAGAACATCTGTTGTTCAAGAGAAAACAAAATCTTCCTCTCCAACATGTAAACCAGTCCTCTTTTGTGAAGTTGGTACACATATCATGAACATATCCTGTCAGTTTTTCTTCATAGAAAATAGGAGTCAAGGATTTTAGGGTATTTATGAGGATCAACATTTACCCCTTATTTCAGAAAAGAAAATTATTTCAATCCATGAAGAATCTAGGCCCTTTGGGGTACTATGAAAAAGAAAATATCATATTCAACATAGCGATTATTTTCACCCTTACACCTACCCCAGGGTAATTTCTCAGATATTTAATTAATATTCAGATTTTTCCACTTTTTGTCCTGTGTCAGTGCAGTAATTATTTCTGTACTTGAGAATACATAATTCCTCCTTCGTGTGTGTGTGTGTGTGTGTGTGTGTGTTTGTGTGTGTTGCTAAGGATAGATCCAGGGCTTCATGCATATTAGGCAACTATTCTACCATTAAACTACCTCTTCAACCCCATGCATTCTACTGTCTTTTATAGGTCAATTCTTATTTCTTTAATCCATAAATTTCTATCCTGTTCCTCATTTCCTATATGTGGAGGAATTTCTGCAACAATTAAAGAAACTGGCAGAAATTCTAGTGTTACTATGGTTTTGAGCCTCCTTACTCATGCATGTTGATGATCATTGATGAAAGAGTTGAACTTCAGGGTATTCAAAAGAATGAGTAATTCTGAAATAACTCCATTTATCTTTCATTAGTACATGACAGCATGTTTTTCAAAGAGGTTCATGTAGAAATAAATCACTTTCAAGTTTTTAAGCCTTAGAGATATATCTCATAATACTACATTTATAAAGATTAACATTTATTTTTCTTTCCAATTTAATGTACTTATTGTTTTCTAAGCCAAAGTAAATTTTTCTTTCATTATTACTCAAATGTCCATAAGATATCTTTTAACAAAGTAAAAATATTGCTATGTTTATATATTTCTCTTTTTTCAAATAGGTGCTATTCCCTCTGAGAGATGGATAGTAAATTTTGACAAAGACCTTTTAGATGGCCTTGTTTTTGCAACGCAGTTAGCAACCTATTGCCCATTTTTGGTAAGAACCACTTGAGAGAATTTAGTGGTTTAACTTTGAAATATTTTTTCTGTAAACTGATTATTTTAAATGTCTTAATTTTAAAGACATGTATGCAAACTACTAGCATTGCCTTTTTGTTTATTCTTATATTTGGAATGCAATAATCTACTACTTGCAAAGTTAATATTTAAGTAATTTTTTACTCAACTACAGAGAACACTTTAAGTATAGCAATAATTATTCCATTAATGAAAGTGGTTTTTCTTTCCTAGATTGAGTCTCATTTTGTAAATATGTATACACAACCAAAACGTCCTGAACAATATCTGCACAACTGCTTGATTATTATAAATAGTTTTTATGAAATTGGTCTTGACATGGGCATACAGGTAGGTTCCTTAATATCATAAAACTATACACATTTAATGAGTTTCTTTATAATATTATTTGTTCATAAATTTTAATTCTGAATTGAAATAGACTTCTCATGGAATAAAGTATGGAAATTGAAACATGACTCAAATATATTGGATATTAAAATAATAATATGTAATTATTTGATGGCATGTATAATATAATAATCACATTATAATAATTGCGTACATGCAATTTTGCATAATAAAAAGGAATTTTATTGTTGTTGTTGTTGTTGTTTTTGGTACCGGGGATCAAATTTGGGACCTTGCACTTGCGAGGCAGGCAGTGGAACCACTGAGCTAAATCCCCGGCCCATGGAATTTTAGTTTGAGTTTCTGAAACCACAAGAATGAAGGTTGAGTGCATAATTAAATTACTCATAGTCTAAGAATGAATTCAAAGGAGAATTATGGAATATTGATATTGATTTATCTTCTAATTTATTATCAAAAAGTAAAATAAATATTTGAAATATGTGCTTACTTTTGTAGGAGCTCTTTGTTAGGAGTAATGAAATGATATAATAAATGATTCCTCACTTTGAAAAATACATAAATTCATTGCATTATCAAAATGTATACCTATTAAAAGATAAAGTTCTACTCATTTAATAAAGCGTCAATAGGGATACATACAAAAAATAGAATCCAGAATTCAGATGGAGGTAGAGATCAATGTGATGTACTCTATCCAGAGTTGTGGAGGAAGGAAGACTTATTTGGGATCTTAGATGGTGGATTGGATTTGAACTGGTAATGGTGAGAAAAGAAGTTGTTTGCTCAAAGATAATGGCATGAACAGACTGGGAGTATGGGGAAATATCATACATTAAAGATATTGTGGGCAGTGGGGTCTCCAGAGCTGAGGATATAACTCAGTGGTAGAGTGGTTTTCTAGCATGCTGAAGGCTCTGAATTTCAATCCCCAGCACTCCAAAAACAAAATAGGAAATCAGTTTTCCCTAGTTGAAGTTTGATATTAGTAACTTAAACATAGGCATATGCTACGGTTTAGATCTAAATTGTCCCCCAGAAGTCTCATGTGTTCAGAGGTGGGGCTTTTGGGAGGTGACTGTATCATGGAGGCACTGTATTCATTAGTGGATTCATCCACTGATGAGTTCATAGGTGAATGTGCTATTAGGGAGGCTGGCCTGGTCAGAAGAGGTGGGTCACTGGGGGGATGACCTGGGAGAGTATATTCTGTTTCTCTGCTTCTTGGATGTTGTGTATTGAAGAGCTTCCACTGCCTTGCCTTGGAGCCAGCCAACCACTAACTAAATGCTCTGAAACCGTGAGCCAAAATTAGCCACTCCTCTTTTAAATTCTGGATGCCAGGTATTTTTTTCCCCAGTGACAGGAAAGAGACAAAAACAGCATATATTATATACCAGCATAAAAAGTCAGGAGTTTACCATGTGGGTATTATGAGACAAAAGGCTTTTACTCTTACAACAATGGTCAGGATGGAATGAGAGGAGAGGAACTAGAGACAAGAAAAGCAAACTAATAAGAATACAATTTCATTTGGTGAAAGAGAATAGTAAATACTTTCTCTACTTGTATCAATTATTTTGAGTACTGGTATTTATCCCAGGACCATTGCTACTTCCCTAGCCATTTTTAATTTTTTTTTAAATTTTGAATCAAGTTCTCACTAAATCACTAGGTTGCCCAGGCTGGGCATGAACTCATGATCCTCCTGCCTCAACTCCCTAGAGTGCTAGGATTATAGGTATAGACCACCACATACAAATAATCTACTCATATTCCTTCAATGGGAAGTGAAAATGATAACCTCCCATTGGGGTTTACCTTGAGAATCTCTTCCCATATTTTACTTCAGTAGTTTGTCTACATGTCATTTTTCTTTTACTGCACTATATGGTACTTTAAATCAAGGAAGGCATCTAAAGTCACTTCAATTATTATTTCTAAGGTGTATTATTTTTTGAGTTCTGACCTGTTTTTATGGATTTTGAGGCTGAGGTCAATTTTTTTTTCTGATTAGAATGTGCCTAATTCATCTTTTAACACATAGATCAAGTTCATATGATTTGGATAATATTTTGTTTCCTGTATCTATTTCAATATCATTGCACATAGGAAAATTTTTTAATATTTTAAGATAATTCAGTAATTCACATATTATGCTTTCTTTCTCTTTATATATTTTATCTGTATATCCTCTCGTTTATATTTTTCTTCTGTGAACTAGGCCATTGATATCTGTGATCCAAATCCAATCCTAATGCTCATGCTGTGCACCTACATGTATGAAAGGCTCCCTACATTCCTCCCCAAGAAGGTGGTGCCATTTTATTGTACTCTGTATGACTCTGTGCTAAGACAGGTAAGGGTATATTTGGGGCCAAAATACATATGGCTAAATACTTAAAGGGTATTTTAGATATTTCTTATCCAACCTAAAGTTAAGAAAAAATGCCTATGGAGTATGATATTGTTTGAATTGAATAGGCCATGCCAATTATTACTCTTTCTAAGCAAATGGTCTAGAGTAGTGAAAGGGATAATTTTTCTTAATAATAATCACTACCTGCAAAAAAATGATGACTCAATCTTTCTCATTCCTGTTTTGTAAAGAATAATTTATTCTGCATACAAGTTAGTTTACCACTTTGATAAAATTTGTATTTTCTTTCCCTTATCCTGTTTTATATTCTCCTCTCCATATTTCATTGAAAAAGAAGAAAATTATATATTTTTGGTACAAAACTTGTCCATGTTTGCCCTTTAAAATATATGTCTTGGTGATCTTTAGAATTATGTGTTTTAAAAAATAACTGTGTGACCTCATGATAATTTGAATGTTGGTTGGTAAGGATTTAGTTAAAAGTGGAAAAATTTGGGCTCTTAAAGTGTAGATGCCTCAATTTAGGGGAAGATAAGCTTCCTCTTCTAAGTTTTTGTTTTAATAAAATAAGATATGACCTCTTTGTTTTACTTTTATTTTTTTCAGTTTTTGTTAGAAAAAAAAGAGAGGTATAACTGGAGATTTTCCTCAACAGTATTTACCATGGTAATCTCTGACAGCAATAATATTCAAGGACTTTTAGTACTAACTAGCTCTGAAACTTTAATTATATTGGAGAGGACTTGGGCTTCAAAATAAAATTTAAAATAATTGGAAGTACTTTGCTTAAGCTTTCAGGAGGTTAAGAGTTTTGATTAAGCAGCAATTTATTACATTTGACTATTTTAAAAATTACTAATTCTCTTTGCATTTCTTCATATCATTTTTACATTCATACAAAATGTGTTTTCATTTTTTCTGTGTTTTCATTTTTTGAAAATAATTAATATTGGGCTGAGGATATTGCTGCTTAGTGGTGGAGTTTGTAGGTGGCATGCATGATACCTTTTTTCACGGAGGGCAGGGGAATGGGAAAAAAAATAAGAACCAAGAAATATGTAAAGGTACAAACTCCTAATAATGAATGTCAACATAATGTATACCTGAAATGTCCGAATAAAATTAATGAATAAAAATGTTTTATAATAAAATATGAAAAAATTAATATTAACATTAGTTAATGTTTATAAATAAACATTATTATATTAAAGCATATCTAATTAATAAGATGATTTATGCCCTCATTTATCTTTTTACTAGAAATAATCTTCATATTTTCAGATTGTATATAAAGATGAAATATTTATTTTCACAAATATAAGTTTTTGAAGATATAAAAATTGAGTAATAATTGCACTTTTTAAAATTATAAAACAAATTAGAAGTTTTGATTTTGTCTTTTATTGGAGAAAAACAGTAACTTGGAAATTGCTAAGAATCTCTGATGTATTTTGTCTCTATGAATCAACACATAAATGACAGTGCCTAAATCATAGAATGTCAATCTTTCCAACCCTGTCAACACTCTATAATATAGAAGAATCTTCAGAAATTGCTTGTAGATTTGAAAAAAATTCTACTTGTCAGTAATAAAAACAGAATGCTGAAACTAGTAAAAAAAATGCAGTGATCATTGAAAAAATGTAGTGCAGTGTCTTTTAAGAATTTTTGAAAACATTGGGGCTGTTTTCTTTTCCTTTTTGAAATAAAATTTACTTAAAGTTGAGTGGGGCCATCTGACTACAGATGAAACCAAATACCTTTGTGCTATGTATCTGACATGACAAAATGAGAATGAGTTGTTTCCTTAACACATTTAGGCTGGCAATGGAAATTCCAGGACTATAAACTAGTAGCAATACACAGTGAATTTAGTATGATTTTCCAAATTTTCCTCCAAAAAGAAAAGAATAGCTTTCTAGGACTTAAAATAATTTTATCTGTTGATGAATACTTAAATATCCTAAAAAGCATAAGCCAAGTATGATAGTGCTTACCTGTAATCTCAGCACTGTGAAAGGATAAGGCAAGAGGATTGCAAATTCAAGCCTAGCCCAGGCAACTTAGCAAACTGTCTCAAATAAAAGGAAAAAAAGAAAGCTAGGATATAGCTCACTGTAAAGGTCCAAGTTATATCCCCTGTAAACAAATAAATTCATACATACATATATAAATATATGTAATGATATATAATGATATAATATATAATGATATATATAATGATATCATATATAATGATATCTCTAAGTTGTTGAGCCGTATGAATTTCCTAACTCCTTGAGCCACAACAAAGAAAAATTCTACAGTCACAACACAGTTGTTCCAGTAGTTACCAAATTTCTCACTGAACTGAGAAAGTAGCTGGTTTAATCTTTCAACAAATCTTTGCAACATTCTGTGTTATTCATTATAACCATACATACTACCACTTTTTCACAGTTCAAATATCTGTGACTATAGGTCCTGGATTTCTTATGTTGCAGACACCTTTTCTTCGCTGTAATTTGGCCAGTCAGTCTTTTGCCAAATCCCCTCCTTCTAGGTCAGTGCTTTCCACAATGACATCCCTGAATCTTGTTACAGAAAAACTACTTTTGACTCTTTTTAAAATGGTAAGGCAGACTGTCTGTTTAGATACAGTGACTACTACAATGCAATTTTGGAAGAGAGAGATTGAGCTCAAGTCTGAATATAACAAGGAAAAGTAACAATTCATTGCCAAAGAAGGGGATGGGTGGTGAATAGAAACATACTAAGAGGAAAATTATGGGTATAGGATTCTGGCTAACTCACTGTAACAGGATTTTTGCTGCAGGAGGACAAAATCATCAGATATCCCCTGTTGTATGATGAAAGAGGAAGGATTTGATTCCTTATGAAGGATGACTAAATACTGAAGATGGAGGATTTTGGCTAGATTGACATAGCATTATTCTTGATAAAATTAGGCCTATAAGGACATGCCCAAATATAGGGCCTAGTTGAAACTGAGCTGAAGGTATCATGACTAGAGTTTGGTCATTGATTTTGGTTTCCTAATATGTTTGTTTGTTGGTTTGAGTTCTCATTATATTCTACATAAAATCTTTATATACTTACATTTTTTCTAGACATATTCTGTTCAATAGTAAAATAAATGATTGTCTAACATCCTCTATATCTCTGGTTCATGAAGAAAAGTAGAGCCAATGCCTAATTAAACTACTGCTTCTAGTGTAAGCCACGTCATCTCAAGCCTGGATTGGAGATGTTTGTAAATCTATACTCTTTATAAGAGTATACACTGAGCAGCCAAATTATTCTTTTCATAAACTGGATTATTCACATTCTGTGTTTAAAATATTCCAATGATTTACTTTTGCAACAAAAATTAAGTCCACATTGCTCATTTTGGTCCAATCTGTGTTGATCAGTTGATGTTTCATTTTGTAATTTCCTCATTGAAATCTCATTTTTCCTTCCTATTTCACATAAATGACACAGGTAGGTAGATAGTAGATAGATAGATAGATAGATTGATAGATAGATAGATAGTCACTATTGTAGAATACAAAATCTGACTTTTTCCAGATAGTATATATTAACTATTTTCAGGGTTACAATGCCTAACTCTCTTTGATAAAAGTAACAATTATATAGTTATATGGTTTCAAAATTAATAACGTTATTTACACTCTTTTCAACAAAGATTCTACTGAAAAATACAAGCTTGCAAAACATAGTGTATCATGCTACAATTGTTGGAAGAGATGCTGCTGATTTCTCTCTGGCTCAGAAAGGAAATGTTGTGACAATTCCTCCACAGTAAGTGTTTTTCATAAAATACTGCTTTATTGCTATTCTAAGCAACAGAGACATGGCTGGGAGTATCACAATCCCCAACTTGAAACTATACTACAAAGCTACTGTGATAAAATCAGCATGGTACTGGCAAAGGAACAGACCTGAGGATCAGTGGAATAGATTAGAAGATGCAGACAACTCCAGACATG